ATATGTGACAAGCATGAGCAGTTACAATTTATCTCTGTCACAATTACGCAAAAGAAACACAGAATAAGAAGTATTAGAGGTAAGCGAAGTAGTCCAAATGAAAAATAGATTTGAATTAATGGAGATTTGACATTTGGAAGTTCAAAAGTGACTGAAGTTACTTCTTTTATTGTGTAGTAACAAGAATAATTCTGGCCAATCTGATGGCAAGAGAAAAGAAATCACACTCATGTGACTACTAAAGAACATCGAACTATACTTGTGTCTGCTTGTGTACGTTTTTCCTGCCACTACTTTTGAATCTCCTTGTGATTACAGTGTGATTGAAAATAGAATATGAGAGTTCAAAGTTTTCATCAAAACAAGTGTAGTAGGTGCATGAGTCTTCATCACAGGATTGGCATCTACAATATAAGCATCGTATAATTGAGTAGAAGACATGTTGTATGTATATGCGCAATCTGAAAGTTTCGATTCTTTACATGAACATAAGCTCCAATTGAACCGACAGTGATACATGGAATGAACAGGATGCATGCACAACCATCTCCTATAGATACAACGATCGAATAGAAATTACTAAACCATGATTTTGCCATTTGTATTTTGTCGTTTAGAATGTTTAATCTTATTGATCGATGAAGATTTATTGAATTGTTTAATGGGATATTTTCGTGTTGTAAATGACGTCAATATTCGATAGTCGGCTAAAAGAAGTTCTTATGAGTTTCATCAGAGAGATGATTCAGCTACACCTATATTCCTATGACTGAAAACATTATACCATTGCCAATGATTGTCTCACTCTAAGGATGAATTACGAAAAATGCCGAAAACCATGTCACAGATTCGTATAAATATTAAATTCGAGGCAATCTTGACATATTTTTAGAATGAAAGATCAAATGAGATGTCGCTTATTGACAATGAAACTGTTGAGAAGATAAAGCTATGACATTATTTATTTTCATAAATATCGATAGAATTCAAATAGAAAGAATATCAGAGATATTTTACCCGTATCAGATTGATAATGCAGACACTGTATTATTTTCATACGAGTTATATGACTAGGTATCGTTTTCAAAGTAGAGCTATGAACCAAATTCTTGTATCTGTTTGTAAACAGATTTGTTAGACTTTTGCGGCATAGTCCAATAAAAGTATAGACATAAAACATCAATGGCATAATTGATTTATTTCAATAGACAGATTCTACGTTTTACTCATATAATCGATAACCATCACCTTAATAACTTTTTATTTAAACATTAAATAACAATAATTGAACAGTCGGCGAACACCATTGCACTTCGGATCCTTAAAATAAATTCACGAAGCTCAATAAATAGCTGAACTCTGCATTTATTTTACTATAAACAATATATTCTAAATTCAAATCTGTCCAATTGGAATCGATTACTGAAAATCAAAAGTCGAGAGTATCAGATTAAATTGATCTTTTTTCTCGTCAATAAGATAGTTCACTATATTAGTAAGATATGAAAGTGCAAGAATTCAATAGGAAATAATCCATAGTTTCATAACGATAGCGATTTCGCTGTTTGCACAGCTACCAATCGAATATCATGTTGGTAGATGATTATGCATCCATTCGATTAATCAAGTTACGGTTGGGCGTGATGGCTTATTTCAATTATCTCTCAGATAAATGGTCATTGATTGAAGATTAGTCATTTAATTGATAAAAGTGATGATGTTCTAGAGAGATTGAACTCGAATTTCAAGAAATTCACATTGACGTGTAAGTGGTAATCTGGCAAATGTCATGCATCGGTTTTCATCAAATCATGCCATGTATGTTTGCAAAAGGAAGAATTCGAACCCGATGAATGCACGGATCTTTAAGTGCCAAATCATGTCCGAAAAGGGAATTAAGATTTGTAGATTGTGGATATTTAGAAAGTCAACCGAATATTGATTCAAACGGTATTTAAATCTATGAAAACAATTGAATGAAGAATATTTTTCTTCGTCAGGACAAGTCGATCTCAATGTCCGAACAAAGTCCGCTATATCAGCAAAATAATCAAAGACATATGGTAGTGTATAAAAACACGCATATGAGGGTGATTTCCAATCACAACAAACATACCACTGATGTTCATCAAGCCAAAATGGTGCTCGAAATGTATTAAGTAGTTCTTCGACTCGCTCATCGATAGCGTGGATGTGTTGGGGATTTTCAAATATTCTGAATCGAAACATTTTGAGATTGGATAAATGATCGATAATCATCTGTTTCCATTGATGTCCATTGAAAAAATTGCACTCCATCTCGATGCTTAAATGCCGGAGACAGGGTCTGCTTTAAAAAAAGATTTCTCAAAGCATGTGCTTCACCACGGCAGACGAGTTTGAAGGCCATAATTGATGTTTGAAGGATTGGAAGTTTTTCATTTTCATTCGTTAATTGTACGTACAACGAAAGAACTCGAAGTGGAAGTGTGCATAAAAATTTTAAAAGAAGCAAATCAATAGGGTATGGGTGAGTGTGTAATAGGCAGTTAAGAGAAGATCCACATCCCACCAACCCACACCCTCGATTAGCTATTTATTCTTTCGATTTAGTGAAATTACTTCGAAAGATCTGTTTGATATATTCAAGCATAAACTCCATCTACGGTATCTTTGCATACGCAATATGATTAATTTTGATATTGAGGCTCTAAAACATTCTACTCCATCGATTACCAAAGTAGAAATTTCTCTCGATTCTTCACTTGCAATGCTATGTTTACTTAAAAACACACTAGATTTACACCATTTAAAAGTCAGTATATTGTGGCTTTACTTGAATGGGCATGAATGGAGACAGATGATTATTGATTATATATTCAATTTGAAATCACTTGCGTTCCAAATGCAATCTCAATTTCCTGATGAAAATAATAAAGAAGTTGAAATTGACGAATTATTAAATACATTTTGAACACTGTTTTGGCTCGATGAACATCACTGATTTGTTCGATGTGAACGGACTTTGTTCTGTGACAACCGTTTTATCGAACTGTACACTTTACCATGCAATATAGACGGATATGTTTGTCAAGATCACAAGGCAAAGTGCAAGTCAACTTGTCCTAAAAATAGAGATTATTCTACGTTCAATAATGTGCGGCATATTTCGTTTGGATTTGTTCGCAATGGTGATGTTCATAACTGGTCTGAACTTCTTTTTCGTTTTTATAATGTTAGTTCTTTGGGTTCATAACTTCCTGTACATGCCAGTACTTGGTTAATCATTCCCACACTGAACCATTTGACTTCTCTACTTCTTTCAATGAGCAATGGATTTACTCAATCTGACTTTCAAACTTTACTCAATCCAGCATCTTGTATTCATACATTGTCGACTCATGGAGAATTAGCTTTACGATTGATAAAACGGAATATAAAAAGTACATTGATTGGTCAACTTGAAGTAACAGCTGGAGTGCATGATCTTTTGTTTAATAATGAACAATGTGCTGGATTAACTCTTTCACCATTAAGGCAGCAGTGTGAAGATCTTACAATTTGTCTCGAAAATCGATCACGTATTATTTCTCTTGTCAACACAACGTCCAATCTTCAAACTCTGACATTCATATGTGATCGTAGCGAGTGGAATCATTACCGATTTTTATCGTCAGATTACAATGAATTCATTGAATGGTTGCGATCTCGTTTAGCATCCACATGTTTTGTTGGCTGACACTCAGTCGGAGTTCAAGTATCGATTTTTAGATATTCAGACTGTCGTAAACCTGCAAAAACACATATAGACGCCTTGGGTTCTCACTCTATTTATGCGATAATGCGTACCAAAAAGGGTGTGGGTTTTGATATCATAGAACAATACCCACACCCTCATGTTGGATTAAAAAATTAAATGACGTTCGAGCAAAGGTACTCTAGAGTGACAGTGTTCAAGGAAGAAGCAACGTCTTTGAGAGTAAGTAATGATTCAAAATGATCGTTTTTATCTATGTTCTCATTTGCTTTCTTTCGTTCTCGACGCGAAAAAATGGATGAGAATAACCACTATTATGTTATAAAATCTCAGGATGAATCATATCGACTAAAGACTATTCTGGATGCTTATCACAAAAACGAGAGAATATGAAGCTTGTCACGCAACGGACATGAAAGACCTATAGTAAAAAGGAAGTAAAAAATGCTGGGGGAGAAGAAACGTCACAGCGATATTCTAATACAGAAAATAATATTTTTGTGCCTATTATAAATTTAAGATTTTTTTATCACAAGTGGCGAAGACTTCAAAGATATAACTGATGAGAATGGCTACTATCATTATCTTAACAAATTTTAAGATTAAAGCTATACAGATGTGTAATTTACTTCTAATCAAAGAGCGAATCTTTCTCAAATTCTGCTATAAGTGACAAGTGTTGCATTAGCAGTTAGTCTGATTTTTTAGTCAACACTGACATGCTTTTAAAGACTTCTCTGTTAACATAGTTTACACAATAAGCTCCCCCAATACATTATTTCGCACTAGCTTGAGGGTTCGAGTATGCACACCCACACCCTATATAGGCTTTCTCTTTTCTCCAAATGCATAAGCTGTAACGAGTGGAATTTTTTTTCTCAACGAGCATCTATTATTGTTAATCTAGTCTATTAGTTTATACTGTTTTATTCATCTTTCGAAACATTTACACACTTCATTATCGACAAGCTCACAATCTTTGAAGTGATGTTTTTTGTGAAGAATGATTATTGAGAAGCTATCTTTATCACAGTCTAAAAATACATCCATGAGCGACATCATAGTCGGAATGTTGAACTACAATTAAATGATAAAAATTTATGTCATTTTGTTATCTGTATAAGATCACAGCTTTCTCTTTTTTTCTTTCATCTATGTCCAAATTACAGATTGTTAGCATTTCCATCATCCATTTATATTACATCTCATACGGGAAACGCTGTCATATTTCTACAGCAGCTCGACAATCTTACGGGAAACACAATAGTCAGAAATCAGAATAAATTAGAATTCTCTCGACATTGTGTTACCGAAAAAAGTAAAAAGAGGTAAGATCGCTAGTTCAAGGTCGCGTAGTATGAAATGAAATAGGTGAGTAGTATCAAAGATAAATTTAAAATTGAGATATACACTATTACACTAATCCAAGCTCTTCGATATTTTCAGTGATTTCTTTAGTTGAAAATAGATATCGAGGTCGATGAGTATAGCTTGAGTAGAAAAAATAATTAATTTGGTTTTTCTGACACAACTCAAATCAGATAATCGGTCGAATGAGTTTTCTTATTTTCAGCTTATTTGAATTTCTAGTTCATTGTATTATGCGATCACATGAATAATCATGGCAGATATTGCAATCTCACTTATTGGACGCTTTTGGATTTACTTAATTCCAAATATTGCATCAATTATTTGCTCTTTACTTGTACTCTACTATTTTCTTTTTGATCAAAAAACCCGTTGTAGCTTATATAATCATGCAGTTATTATTATTCTCATCATTAATTTTGTCACCTTGATTACAGATATTCCGTGGATTCTCTATCATTATCGAAATGGTGTTGTCTTGATATTTACACCATTATTTTGTCACACATGGAAATTTATCGATAGTTCATCATATGTGACAACAGCAAGACTTGTCGCATGGGCCTCAATAGAAAGGTATATTCTCATTTTTCATGGCAGGTGGATGTCTACAAAGAAGAAAAAAATTCTTTTACACTATATACCTATCAGTGCAATTGTTTTATACGGAATCATTCTCTACATGATTATTAGTTTTTTCCTTTCTTGTAATCGTTCATATTATCGTTCAATAGCATTTTGTGGATTCTATAGTTGTGCTTATGACAGTACAGTCTATTCTATGTTTGAATTCATCACCAGTGGAATAACGAATGCAATTATCATTGCTACTTTTAGCATGACCCTGATTATTCGTATTATAAAACAAAAGCATCGGGTTAATCAACAAGTCCATTGGCGTAATCATCGTAAAATGATCGTTCAGCTCATATCAATCATATCATTATTTTATGTTCTGTATTTGCCTAATGTTATCACTGGTATCCTGCTTAGTTGTGGTGTTCTACGGAGCACCTTGAAAAATTTCGTGCCATATGGGCAATTTTTCTCCTATTACATCAATTTTCTACTTCCGTTCGTTTGTGCTGGAACATTACCCCATCTTCGAAAGAAAATTAAGAATACATTACAATTTTTCCCATGGTGTAAACGTGGTATTGTTGAACCAACTCCAAATAACGTCAAGCCTAGACCAATGAACCAAAATGGCAATTCCAACATGGACCATTAATTCATTTGGATGCCGCGTTCAGTTGATTCATAAATGGCAGAAAAAAACCTTATTTATGTTGTGTCAATATTTATCGTTTATAAAATAGTTTAACGTATCTTCCCTGTTTTGATTTTAGATACGTTGCTATTTTAGTGTTCATGAGCCAAATTTACAAATAAAGTACCCTACCTTGAACATTTGCCAATATGTTAAGAAAATTAATCATGTAACATGTGATGCAAAAGTCTTGACATAAATGTCAACCTCTCTTACATCATATTACTAAAGTCTAAACTGCAAATTTTGTACCAAACTTGTTTGTTTTTAGGACGAATATACGAAGCAGGAGACGCTAAAAGTCAAACAGCTTTAAAAAGTGTTGGCAACTGGAAAAGTTACTATTCGTCAATTATCTTTAGCTACATGAATCGAATTCTGATAAAAAATACACAAAAATATAATAAATCTAAAGTTCTATTGATATCAGTTTGGTTAAGTTTTTGTAACATAGTGTCTATTGCTGGAACTATCAATTTGGAAGTAAATCAATCACAAACTTCAGAAACTATGTCGGGCCTGAATTCATTGTATGTTATTTGTTTGAAATCCGTCAGATATTAAAAACTTAGCAGAAAAAGATTCAAAAAGCCATTTTTATTATGGCAAAACGGTCAGACAGTAGGAAAGAGCGACACATATACAGATACATTCACAAACAGCTATCTTTCTAAAAAAACAATACTAAATTTAACTTTCAATGCATCATTCGAAAGAGTACTTTTGCTATGAAAAAGAAGTAAAGAGAAAATAGAAAATAATATTGTGCAAAAGTAAAGGCGCAAGAACTTTTTTAAAGATGTATGGTTTTTACCTTCTTCCACATCATAAAGTCATTCTAGAAAAATAAATCTGGTACAAAATTTTTAGTTCAGACTTTGCTCTTTTCTAGAACAAGAAATTTGATTCGTTTAGAATAGAGTACTGCAACCCGAGCCCGACCCGCGGGTGCGGGCGGGTTCGGGTTCAATCTTGTCGGGTGCGGGCGGGCTCGGGTTCAATCTTATCGGGTCGGGTCGGGTCGGGTGTGGGTTTGAAATTAAAAAATGTCGGGTTTTTATCGGGTCAGATTTTTTTGCGTATGTATGCTTCTGCCCTCTATTTTCGTTCGTCTTAAACTCACAGAATAATAAAACTCAATTCTATTGGTCAATGATTCTCAGAGTCTAATGAAATCAGAACGTAATGCTGTTATTAAAAATATACGAATACTTTTAAAAACTCTAGGTATAGATCAACAAGTCGATGAAGAAACAACAGAGACAGGTACCAACAACAATTTCTCAACACATCAAAAACGTATTAAAATAGACACTGTACACGATGTTCTCAAGTCTTTTAATGCATTTGTAGACTCATCATCAGACGATGATGATAAGAGGCCGATGGATAAAGTAGATGATTATATTAAAGCGAAAATATCATACCCAAAAGGAGAATCACTTTTACAACGGTGGCAAAAACACTCTATCATATACAAAAAGTGAGTTTCTTGATTACTATATCATTCTCCTTAAATGCACAAGAAAAATTCAATAAATTAATTTAAATTTGATTCTCCTTAGGTTATCATTATTGGCATGTTCTCTCTTAGCAGTACCTGCAGGTTCTGCTGTATCTGAAAGAATATTCAGTAAAACAGGTCGGATTCTTGAAGTTCGACGTCAACAATTATCACCAGAATCACTTGACTCTCTTATTTTTTTACGAAATTTTTCAATTGTTTTGTATAAATTGAGGATGTATTATTGATATTTGTACGATACTTATTGTTATGATCATTATTGATCTTAACTGTTTGAAATGTATGTATTTGAATGGAAATGCGATCATACTAAGTTGTGATGGTTTTTTTTGCAATCATGATTATCTATGTGTTTTTTATTGCTATAAAGCTTCTATCATTTTTTATGCTTAATATTGCAATAAACTGATGTATCTTTATAAAATAAACGAATTTAAATCTCTCGGGTCGGGTCGGGCTCGGATTCAACTATCCTCGGGTCGGGTCGGGCTCGGATTGAACCTTGTCGGGTCTGGTCGGGCACGGGTACGACTAAAAGACCTCGGGTCGGGTGCGGGTTCGAAAAATCAAACCCGCGCAGGACTCTAGTTTAGAAGTTAGCAGAATGAGATAACAGAGTTGGATATTTGTGCAAAGACTTGTGCATCACTTGTTGCATTGTAGATAGCCGACTTTCGGTTCGTAGCTCACTGATTAAAAATAGATATCACGAGAGTGCAAATACGAACAAAACTAGTAATTCCATTCAAAAAGAACACGATGCGAATGAATCTGGATAAACCGTACTTGTTGTATCTATTCATTCAGACAACTTAACTC